TACCACCGGGAGACAACTTTGTAAACTGTGATCCGTTTCATGACTCTTTCGTACGTATTTCATATCTACCACAGGGAGACAACTTGTAAAACTGTGATCCGTTTTCATGACTCCTTTCGTACGTATTTCATATTCTACCACAGGGAGACAACTTGTAAAACTGTGATCCGTTTTCATGACACCTTTCGTACGTATTTCATATTCTACCACAGGGAGACAACTTGTAAAACTGTGATCCGTTTTCATGACTCCTTTCGTACGTATTTCATATTCTACCAAAAAGGAGCGTTGAAAATCACAATAGTATTAAAAGCGGAAATAACTGTTCGATACGAGAATTTTGTCAGATACGAGTCTGAGAAATCAAAACATGTTACTTTAGTACTTTCAGCACATATGATTTAATTTTAAGGAACGCCCGATTTTTAATAAAGTCTTAAACTGTAATATTCATAAAACGCGGTTGTTTCTAATTACAAGAGAAGGTGACAGCTCCAACGCACACATAGTGTAATGATTTTAGCACTCAAAATGGATAACAATCAAAGTTGTTAATGAATAAACGTAGAAATAATTCAGATGTGAAGCTTCATTAAATTAACAAAAAGAAAACGTTTGAAAGTGTTATTTTTCTTAATATCATCAATGGATTTGGGAGGAGGGGGAGGTTTGGTAATACATTGCTTGTTTCAGTTAACTAATTCCCATAATTATTTTTAAGTTCTAGTTTCGACAAGATAAGTACGATAGGTATTTCCAAAACAACTTGAAGTGTAATGTATTGTGAACGAGAACCACGATGAACAGTCCAACATAGTGTTGTAAGGTATATTTCAACATCAACAAAAGTCACATTAACAGTAAAAGATAGTGGTATACACAAATTTGCCTCAAATAAATAATGAAAGATTTGTTTAGATTCCAATGTTAACCTTCTTTGTCGAAGTCAATTCTCGGTTAACGACTACAGGACGTGAACAGGTTAACAAATAAGGCAATAACTTTGCATATTATAACCTTTACGTTCCACTCTGGCTCATGGAATTCATTTTAACCTGATCTGCTTGGCAAGTCTAGCATATTAAAGCTGAGCTTCAACAACTTCCATTGACTACCAGGTTAGCAACTCCCCAAAGCCAGCTTAGGGGATAACCGAACCCAGAACTCTACCAAAGCTAGCTTAGAGGATACAGAACCGAGCAACCCACCAAAGCCAGCTTAGGGGATAACCGAACCCAGAAATCTACCAAAGCTAGCTTAGAGTAATACAGAACCGAGCAACTCCCCAAAGCCAGCTTAGGGGATAACCGAACCCAGAAATCTACCAAAGCTAGCTTAGAGGAATACAGAACCCAGAGATCCACCAAAGCTAGCTTAAAGGTATACTGAGCCCACGAATCTGTCAAAAATAATCTAGGTTCTAGGGGATTACCGAACCCACCAACCCAACAAATCTGGCGTACGGGATTACCGAACCAGCAACCCCAAGAGAAGACAGACAATTAGACTTCTACAGTCCCTAGGATACTGTTTAATAAATGCTAAGACTAAGCATGCATGGTTAAACAATAAACTGTAATCACAATAAATATAGCAATGTATATTGATTTGTTTAATTATCAATAAAATACACGTGTATTCAGATTTTATCTTATGACAGTTATCGAACACACACGTGTTTTGTCGTTTTGGGGTAATAATAAAATTCAGCGGTTATTTTTGTTCTTCATTAATAAAAGGTTAAATATATCTATACATATATCATAATTATGGTAAAATGTTTAAAACGTATTGTATGTATACATATATATATTTACAAAACTGTCTACCATTTTAAAATATTTTGTATCATTTTGACATTTGGAGTATTGAGTTCAGTTATAATTCTTGCAAATAAAACAAGAAACTGACCCCACACTTCAATTGTAATGATGAAAAAAGTATTATGGTTTCACTTATGATTCCTATCTATTGGTTCCTACACTGCCAGAATCAATTATGGGTAATTGGATTGTATAATACCTTAGATACGAGACCATCATTATAAAACAACATGTGGAACATTAATGCCTTTTCACTGATGACCGCCGCTTCATCCTGCAGCAAGATAACAGGTGTGTAGCCATTTTTATGTAGGAGTGTAACGTATAGGAGCTGCTGAAAGTATGGAGCGAGCAGAAAATAAGCACTGGTTGATGTACCAGACTTTACATCCTAGTGTGTAGTACCTTAATGCCACTCGTTAAAGGGACCACATCCTAGTGTGTAGTACCTTAATGCCACACGTTAAAGGGACTACATCCTAGGAACCTTAATGCTGGTGCAATTGGTCCGAACGTAAGCCTAATTTATGATAACGTCCACCCATACCGTAGCAGACTTGTGGAGACATTCCTTGAAGAGGAGAGGATTGACCGAAAGGAGGCGCTGCATGGTCACCGGACTTCATCTAATAACATGTAGTATCCCGATGAGTGATTTCAGACCCTAAAGATGTTCTGGAAAGAACTCTTTCAGAAGAGCAGCCAAAGATACCCTAGGATTTTAAACACTGAAATTGGTACCAGCATCCATGCTGAATCGAAACGTCAATTGTAAGAAATTAACACTAATTCTATCAAATATTTACTTACGAACCTAAGCCGAATTACCAGTCGTTTTGTATTCCAAATGGCATCCGGTGGCTCAGCGGTACGTCTGAGAGCTTAGAACGCTAAAACTCGAGTTTCAATGCCCGCGGTTGGCACAGTACAGATAGCCCATTGTGTAGCTTTGTGATTAATATTAAAAAAAAAGCAAAAGCATTTCAAATCAAACACTTGATGCCTTATTTACATAACACTGAAGAACGGAATGATCGATATTATAACAATGGTTTTTACCTTGTCATAAAATGTAATAAATTGTAATTATCCTTTAAATACTCTGTGCAGTGTAATCAACGCACTCAGCACTATCGGCAAGAAGAGTTACAATTCGCTGATAAGCAACAACGGGTTTTCACCGGGCGACCACTTTTTATATATTTTTTTTATAAAAGCTCAAATGAAATGTGTAATATATTTTAAAAGCAGTTTTTTTTTCGTTTTAAAGAAACTGAAGTTTGAGGAAGGACGGAAGTGAGTAGTTAATGTCATGCACATTACATGACAAACGATACTTTACTAAACGTCTAGATTATATATTGAAGCAACACTTACTTGTTAGTAGATTCACCGCGACAGCTGAACCAGAACCTTCCCGGTATACAACGCTTTATTCGGGTGAAGAGTGATCTATTGATCGGTAATTTATGTAACGTTACATCACTATAAGACTGACAATAAGTGTTGGAAAAGCTTTCTTTACTGGCCCTATACTTTGGGTTTCCAGCAAGTAGAAATATAGTAGCGTCTCGACCGCACTTCTTGTGCGTTGTACGCTACTGCCGAAGAGGCCTTTCTCGCAATACAACAGCTCGTCGGCTCAGCTGGGAATACAACACAGAAAGTTTCGGTCGAAACGCTTTATATCAGTCATTTACACTAGTATAGACGAGATAAAGAAAATTTTGTAAAACGTGCAATATATGCATATATATATATTTAAAAAGATTACTTTTAAGTGACATTATTGGTTCCGAAAAATTACAACAATACAAAACGTTAAAGTGGCATATATAGTAGTAATGAATGAGAGAAAGGTGCTTTTGATTAATTCGTATATTAACTAAATCTTTGAAACTGACTGACCTGTAAATTTGTTGCATTTAGAATATTAAGATATTATTTTATTTTCGAAATGTGGACCGAGAGTGGCTTACTGGTTAACGTGCCCGGACCGCGACTTCGAGAATTCATGGTTCGCGATCCGTTGCCTCGTAAACGTGCTCCGCATTTCGTAGCCGTGGGTGCGTTATCAGGGTGACGATCACTATTTGATCAGACTGAAGTAGCCCAAGAGTTAACAGTGGGTGCTGTTGACTACTTGTTGCCTTTCCTTTAGATTTTTTAGATAAAAACAACTTTTCGGATTTTAAGTTCTTTTAGAATAAAAATCCAGCTTTTGGGACATTAGAGTCCTTAGATTAAAAAATAGCATTTGGGGCTTTAGGTTA